AATCCCAAAAAAACCCCAAAAATCCACCCAAAAACCCCTTAAAAATACATCAAAATTACAAAAAAATACATCAAAATACCCCAAAATTACCAAAAAATGCCCCCCAGGGACCCCCGGACCTTCAGCAGCTGGGGAACCTTCACTGGAGGAGAAATCCCAAAAAAACCCCAAAAATCCACCCAAAAACCCCTTAAAAATACATCAAAATTACAAAAAAATACATCAAAATACCCCAAAATTACCAAAAAATGCCCCCCAGGGACCCCCGGACCTTCAGCAGCTGGGGAACCTTCACTGGGGGGAAAACGGGGTGAAATCCCCAAAAAAAACCAAAAATCCACCCCCAAACCACTTAAAAATACATCAAAATACCCCAAAATTGGCCTTAAAATGCATCAAAATACCCCAAAATTACCCAAAAATGCCCCCCCAGGGACCCCCAGACCTTCAGCAGCTGGGGAACCTTCACTGGGGGAGAAATCCCAAAAAAAACCCAAAAATCCACCCCAAAATACCCCAAAACCATCATAAAATACCCCAAAATTACAAAAAAATACATCAAAATGCCCCAAAATTACCCAAAAATGCCCCCCCAGGGACCCCCAGACCTTCAGCAGCTGGGGAACCTTCACTGGGGGAGAAATCCCAAAAAAAACCCAAAAATCCACCCCAAAATACCCCAAAACCATCATAAAATACCCCAAAATTACAAAAAAATACACCAAAATACCCCAAAATTACCCAAAAATGCCCCTCCAGGGACCCCCGGACCTTCAGCAGCTGGGGAACCTTCACTGGGGGAGAAATCCCAAAAAAAACCCCAAAAATTCACCCCAAAATACCCCAAAACCATCATAAAATACCCAAAAATGGTTTTAAAATACACAAAAATACCCCAAAATTACCAAAAAGTGCCCCCCCAGGGACCCCCAGACCTTCAGCAGCTGGGGAACCTTCACTGGGGGGGAAACGGGGTGAAATCCCAAAAAAAACCCAAAAACCAAAAAAAATCCACACGAAAATACCCCAAACTGTCCTAAAATACCCAAAATTTGCTTTAAAATGCATCAAAATACCCCAAAATTACACCAAAAAATGCCCCCCCAGGGACCCCCAGGCCTTCAGCAGCTGGGGAACCTTCACTGGGGGGGAAACGGGGTGAAATCCCAAAAAAACCCAAAAATCCACCCCAAAACGACTTAAAAATACATCAAAATACCTCAAAATTACAAAAAAAATACATCAAAATACCCCAAAATTACCAAAAAATGACCCCACTGTGGGACCCCCAGACCTTCAGCAGCTGGGGAACCTTCACTGGGGGGGACAAATGGGGCGCAAAATCGAAAAATAACCCAAAAAAATCCACCCTGAAATAATCCGGGAACCCCAAACTCACAAAAATCCTCCCTGAGCCCCCAAATCCCCTCAGATCGCCCCAAAATCTCACCCAGGACGGATCCCGCCACGATCCCGTAGCCCAGAACTTTGCTCAGGAGGATTTTCAGGCACGGAACTGCGGAGGAAGGACAAAAGTGAGGTGAAGTGACCCCAAAATTACCAAAACTTCCACAAAATTCCCTAAATTTTCCTCAAAATTCCTCAAAATTTGGGTCCCCCCACACCCAAAACAAAGATGGCGGCGGCGTCGCCTCACGGCCAAAACAAATATGGCGGCGCTTCCCCTCGCGCCCAAAACCAAAATGGCGGCGCCCCTCACAACTCCCGCCCGTAACCAAAATGGCGGCCGCCCCCACAGCCCTTAAAGGCGCCCCAAAATCCCGCTCCAAACCCCCGGGAAAGCCCCGAAAAGCCCCGGAACCGCTCCCCGCGACCCCTCCGGTACCGTCGAGGAGCTGGAAGCGCAGGAAGAATTGGTCGAAGCAGCGCTCGGGCAGCAGGAACGGGACGAGCCAAGGCCGGAGCGGCTCCATGGCGGCTCCCGCGCTGAGGGGAAAACGGCGGGAAACGCCCCTCGCGCGTCGTGATTGGCTGAGGCGCCAGAAAACCCCGCCCCTCTAGGCCCTCCCTGTAATCGGATTGGTTAGCAAGTAAAATTGTCCTGCCAATCAAGATCTGCGCCGAGTGGCGATTGGTCAGAGGTTTATTGTGCAAGCGATTGGCTGAGTGGGCGTAAAGCTCCGCCCGCCGCAGGCGCGGCGAGCTGTGATTGGTCAGTTCTTTATTAATACTATTAAAGTTTTAAATCCCGGAGAAATCCCCGAAATTCACCCAAAAATTTGTGTCCGGAGCGCTCTGATGCGCCCAAAATCCCACACAAGACCTTCTCTGAAGCCTCAAAAGTAGGTTCTGGTCCACAATTTGCGAGGTCTTGAGCGTTTCGATTTTGGGGGATTCCAGAGGGGTCCAGGCCCCGAATTTGAGGGAAATTTAGAGATTTTGGGGGGGTCCGGGACCCGCTTTTGGCGGGCTCAGCCGGAGTTTGTGGGGTCCCGGAGGGATTCTGGGGATCTCAGCCCCTCCCGAACGGGATTTTGCGGGTCCAACCCCCAAATTTTGGGAATCCGCAACATCCCAAATCCACTTTTTCCTCCTTTCCCTCTGCGCATGCGCAGCACACGCGTCGACACCGCCCCACGCGGCAAAACTTCCGTACGTTTCCTCCGGTACCGCGCAAGCGCAGAACGCAACACGGACGCCGCCATGCTTGCCGTACGTCCTCGCCTTCTTGTTGCGCGTGCGCAAGGCGGGAAGGCGGCTCCGCGCATGCGCACCCCGCCCTTCTTCTTCGCTGCTGCCGCCCAAGATGGCGCCGCCCATGGCGGCCGCCGCCGCCTCCCTCTCCCTCCTCCTCCTCCTCCTCCTCCGCCGCCGCCGCCGCCGCCTCCGCGGCCGCCGCCGCCGCCTCCTCTCTGCACGCCGGCAGGGGCGGCATGCACCACCGGAGCGACTCGCAGCGGCTGGGCAAGCCCGGCTGCCCGCCGGCCGAGCAGCCCGCCCTGCCCATGGCCAACGGCAACTTCCTCTCCACCCTCGCCCCCGAGCACTGCCGGCCGCTGGCCGGCGAGTGCATGAACAAGCTCAAGTGCGGCGCCGCCGAAGCCGAGATCATGAACCTCCCCGACCGCGTCGGCACCTTCTCGGCCATCCCGGCGCTGGGCGGCCTCTCCCTGCCCCCCGGGGTCATCGTCATGACGGCCCTGCACTCCCCCGCCGCGGCCTCGGCCGCCGTCACAGACAGCGCCTTCCAGATCGCCAACCTGGCGGACTGCCCGCATGAGGAGGAGGAGGAGGAGGATGAGGAGGATGAGGATGAGGAAGAGGAGGATGAGGAAGAGGAGGATGAGGAGGATGAGGATGAGGAGGATGAGGATGAGGAAGAGGAGGATGAGGAAGAGGAGGATGAGGAGGATGAAGATGATGAGGATGAGGAGGAGGATGAGGAAGATGAGGATGAGGAGGATGAGGATGATGAGGAGGAAGAGGAGGATGAGGAGGGGCTGGCGATGAAGCTTCACCTGCCCCGCGACCCCCGGAGGAGTTTGGGGGGGTTGTGGGGGGTTGGGAAATCCGGAAGGTTCCAGGCGGGAATTGGGGGTTGGGGGAGGGGCCCGGGGTGGAATTGGGGGGGTTTGGGGGGGGAGGTTCCGGAATCCGGCGGGTTCGGGTCAGGAATTCCCAAATCCAGGGGATCCCGGCCCAAAATTCCAAAATCCGGCGGGTTCTGGTCAGGAATTCCCAAATCCAGGGGATTCCGGCCCGAAATTCCAAAATCCAGGAGATTCCAGCCCAAAATTCCAAATTCCAGGGGATTCCAGCCCGAAATTCCAAAATCCGGCGGATTCTGACCCAAAATCAAAGGTTTTAGGGTCAAAGTTCCAAAATCCGGAGGATTCCGGTCAGGAATTCCGAAATCCAGGAGATTCCAGCCCGAAATTCCGAAATCCAGGAGATTCCAGCATGAAATTCCAGAATCCAGCAGATTCCAGCATGAAATTCCAAAATCTGGTGGATTCCAGTCTGAGATTCCAGAATCCAGGAGATTCCAGTCTGAAGATCCAAAATCCAGTGGATTCTGACCCAAAATCAAAGGTTTTGGGGTCAAAGTTCCAAAATCCAGCGGATTGCGGCCAGAAATTCCGAAATCCAGGAGATTCCAGCCCGAAATTCCAAAATCCAGGGGATTCCGGTGTGAAATTCCAAAATCCGGAGGATTCTGAGCCAAAATCGAAGCTTTTGGGGTCAAAGTTCCAAAATCCAGAGGATTCCAGCCCGAAATTCCAAAATCCGGAGGATTCCAGTGTGAGATTCCAGAATCCAGGAGATTCCGGTTCGAAATTCTGAAATCCAGGAGATTCCAGCCAAAAATTGCAAAATCCAGCGGATTCTGACCCAAAATCGAAGCTTTTGAGATCAAAGTTCCAAAATCCAGAGGATTCCTGTGTGAAATTTCAAAATCCAGGAGATTCTGGTCAGAAATTCCAAAATCTGGGAGATTCCAGTCTGGGATTCCAGAATCCAGGAGATTCCAGCCCGAAATTACAAATATTGACGGATTCCAGCCCGAAATTCCAAAATCCAGAGGATTCCAGTCTGGGATTCCAGAATCCAGGAAATTCCAGCCCAAAATTCCAGAGTCCAGGAGATTCCAGTCTGAAGATCCAAAATCCAGCGGATTCTGACCCAAAATCGAAGGTTTTGGGGTCAAAGTTCCAAAATCTGGAGGATTGCGGCCTGAAATTCCCGAATCCAGGAGATTCCAGCCCAAAATTCCAGAATCCAGGAGATTCCAGCCCAAAGTTCTAAAATCCAGAGGATTCCAGTCTGAGATTCCAAAATCCAGGAGATTCCAGTCTGAAGATCCAAAATCCAGCGGATTCTGACCCAAAATCGAAGCTTTTGGGGTCAAAGTTCCAAAATCCAGAGGATTCCAGCCCGAAATTCCAAAATCCGGAGGATTCCAGTGTGAGATTCCAGAATCCAGGAGATTCCGGTTCGAAATTCTGAAATCCAGGGGATTCCAGCCAAAAATTACAAAATCCAGCGGATTCCGACCCAAAATC